CCGCAGAGGTGCTGCCTGCGGCGGCGGCGGTAGCGCACGTGGCAACCCCCCGCGTTTCCTTGCCTCCCATCCACCGGACCCCGTCCTGCGCTTCACTTTGTTTAGGGAGGGGCTGCTCACTGCTCATTGCTCATTGCTCATCGCACACTGCTCAACGCTCATTGCCCTATATCCCACCCAGCCGCAGGACTCCACTGCCGCCCGCGCCCCGCCCCATCTGGCCGCTTGCGCGCCCCATCCCCCCTCGATGGGGCCCGCCCACACCGGGGCCTCCCCCCTCCCGCCCACTGCTTTCTCAACGGCCCCGAGCCGGGGCTGCCCTCATTGCATACATAGTGCGCCTTTCCCTGCTTTTCTAGTGACCTAGCGTTCCGCACTGCCGTTTGGCCAGCCCATGCTCCCGTACCGTTGCGTTTCTCCCCAATGCGCCATGCCACTTTGCCAGTCATACACACGTTTCGATGCGTGCCCTGTCAGCTGCTTGCGTTGCATGTCGCCTTGCTCCACCCCTGTTTTATTGCTTTCTCTGCTTTCGCCCGGTTCCCGTCCCGTTTCGGCGGGGAGTCTATGTTGCAAGCTAGTTCTTGCTTTACCAGACTTTAAGCCCACACAAGCAACAAGCAAGGGGATCAGGGAGGAGGGGAGGGCAAGGGAGGCACGCTCGTTGAACCAGAGGGGGGAGCAGCTTCACAGCAACACAACAACAGCATAACCAGAATGAAACAAGCAGCGACGGGGCAGCAACAAACCCAGAAACACACATCCACCAATCAAACAAAACAGCCGTCGGCGGCCAGCAAGCGCACCCAGAGCCGACAGGGCGCCGTGCACGCTGTACATGGAACATGAGGCCAGGACGGCAGCCTTGCGGCCATCCGCGCCCACCACATAGTACTGCAGAGGACAACAGCCGGAGGGAGAAAGGAGGGGATTACATCAGGAGCGGGGAAGGGTGTGCAGGGTGGTCTGGGACGCGGCTGTCTGCTGTTGCATGCGTGAATGTGCCTGTGTGAGGGCAAGAAAGTGCGGCTGTGCACGGTTAAGGCGAGAAAGGCAGCGGCGCAAGCAGTGGTGTGGCAGCTGCTGTGCCGCCTGCCGCCCTGCCTGACTGCTTATGGGCAGGGTATGATACATCGGTATATACCCTGCCTCTGCCCGCCAGCCCAGCGCACAATTAAGCAGCAGTGCACCCACAATTATCCAGCCACAGCACCACACACAACAAAGCAGCCATGGCACAGCAGGTCAGCAACGCACGTAAAACGGGAGGGACAGGAGGAAGACAGCGCCAAAGAAGAGAGTGTATGAGGGGACTTCCCGCCAGCCGGTGCCGACCCACAGCTCTGCTGCCGCACTCAGCGCTTCCAGGGCGCCAGCCAGCTGCTCAACCAACATGCCTGCAGCGCCGAACAGTGGCGTCGGGTGATTTCTCCCCCAGGGGGAGGGGAAATTGCGATTTCCCCAACCTGTTTCTCTCCCTCATTTCCCGTTCCCCTGCTTCGCCGCCGCACCACCAGCACCTGAACATCACTCATGAGCGCTGGGAGGGGCCGCGCGGCCCCTCCGGGAGACAGCAGCGGCGGCGCGGATGGGGACCCTTTGGGGTGCAAGGAAGCTGAGCTGCGCGCCGTCCAGTGCGTCTTCAAGCACGTCCTGGGGCTGGGCGGCAAGCATAAGGCTGCTGCAACCGCGCCCCAGCCGCGCCTCAACTTTGAAGGGCCAGAGGCGACTGCTTTTGCGGCTGCCCACGGCCGGGCAGTGACGCTGGGCGACGTGCTGATGCACCGGAGCAACTTCGTGGCGCTCAACCTGCAGCAGCACTTTGCTGGCCCGCTCCGGGCGGCGGCGGCGGCGGCGCAGGGCGGGCCGCTGCCGCAGCACGCCAAGCTGCCCTGTCCCAACTGCCTGAAGTTCACTCTCATCTCCAAGGGGCCGCAGCTGCCCAACATCCGCAAGCTGGCGATGCCTGGAGGCGCCGCCTATGTTCTGCCTTTCAAGCTGAAGTGCGAGCCTTGCAGCCGTGAGTCGAGGGAGCGGCGGCCATGCGGTGGCCGAGCACGCGTTTGCGGCGCCCCGGCGGCTGGCTGCTGCTGATTGTGAGTGTGCACAGCTGACTGTGAGAGTGCACACTTCCTTGCTTGTAGGCCAATACAGCACTACGAGTGAGGAGCTGTACGCCGCGCTGCGCATCGTTGACCTGGGCTTCATTGCCGACGCGGTGCCCGCCGTCTTCTCCAAGAAGGGTGCCCTGCACAAGGACCTGCTGGCCCAGCTCATCCTGGACTACGAGTCTGGCCTCTCTATTGAGGTGTGTTCATGGCACCGCTGCGGTGCTGGGGTGGGTGGGGCCGATGGATTGGGGCGAGGGGCCCTGATCGCATGTCGTTTAGCCCGTCGCCTGCCCATCCATCGCGTCTCGTCCCCACCCCCCGCAGGCCGCCATACAGCGCGTGCGCACGAGGATGGAGGCCTGGCGCGTGCAGGTGCTGCTGGACTTCTACGGCATGAGCCGCATTGGCGGCCAGCATCGTGTGCTGCCTGCAGATGTGGAAGCGGCCGCCAAGCACGACTGGCCGCTGCCGGTGAGAAAGCAGGGAGCGGGCGGAGTCGACCTGGCCGGCGCGGGGCTCGGCCTGCCAGCGTGCGCGGCACCACCCAGCTGTCGAGGGAGCGGCGCGCCACCGCCGCGACCGGCTTGCCCTCCCACGGACTCGTGGGCACCCCTCGTCTCTCAGAGAGCCCCCTCCTCTCCCACAGCGCATTACCCCTGCCCTCCTCTCCCTGCCTGCCCACATGCAGTTCCTGAGCGCAACCTACGTGCGCACGATGCTGGATGTCCACATGGAGGAGCGGCGGCAACTGAAGCGGGCCGTGCTGGCGGGCATCGACGCGGGCCCCCACCGCGCTGTGAGCTGCGACCACACCTTTGCAACCGCCAAGAAGATCACCAGCAACGGGAGCAAGCCGTACGAGGCCATCTTCAACATGCTCAACTCGGTGGGCGAGGTCATGCTCTCGGTGCGTGCAACAACTCTGCCGGCGCTGCATGTCGGCGCTGCCGCTCTTGCTGGCCGCCTGCCATTCAGCCCACTACCTCTCATTACCTTCCCCTGCTCCCTCCGCCGCTCTCATCGGTGCCTGCTGGTCGCTTGCCCCTTGCTGCCCCCAAACCCCCACCGCCGTCCCATGTTGCCCACCCCTGCCGCCCCGACTCCCAGCAGATCGGCGTGCAGACCACCAGCATGCAGGAGGTCAAGCCCGCGTTACAACGCTTGCGGGACAACATTGAGCGCAGCGGCGGCCAGGTGAGTGCGGCGGGAGGCAAGCAGCCGCCCATGCGTCCCTTGCCCCCCGCCGCACTCACCTGGCCGCCGCTGCGCTCAATGTTGTCCCGCAAGCGTTGTAACGCGGGCTTGACCTCCTGCATGCTGGTGGTCTGCACGCCGATCTGCTGGGAGTCGGGGCGGCAGGGGTGGGCAACATGGGACGGCGGTGGGGGTTTGGGGGCAGCAAGGGGCAAGCGACCAGCAGGCACCGATGAGAGCGGCGGAGGGAGCAGGGGAAGGTAATGAGAGGTAGTGGGCTGAATGGCAGGCGGCCAGCAAGAGCGGCAGCGCCGACATGCAGCGCCGGCAGAGTTGTTGCACGCACCGAGAGCATGGT